AATAATACCAGCAATTCTTCAGATTATGATTATCTCATCAAATTCTTAACACTTGGTATAACATTTGCCTTCAATTTGTGTACAATTCAATTGATTTGTTGATTCCATACGACACATACAATAAGGCGATTCAGGTGTTGGCAAAACTAGTTTTCTCTATCAGTACACTGACGGGTCATTCAATACGAAATTCATATCAACCGTTGGAATTGACTTCAGAGAGAAGAGAGTCGTAAGTGATTTATATTAAGATCTGTTTTTGTAATCATTTATACTATTATTATACCTTTATTTTTGATAATTCTAATTATGCTAAGAATAAAATATTATTTTCAACACAAATAGGTGTACAGATCACAAAAGAGTGATGGCATGACGGGTAGGAGCCAGAGAGTGCACCTACAGCTATGGGACACTGCCGGACAAGAAAGGTTTGTCTAATTCTATGTATAATTACAATATATCTGTGAATACAAAGAGTTTATAACTTATTTAAGATAAGACCGAATCTTAGGCTTGCATTGAGTATAATTTTGTACATAAATAGGTTTTGTTTCACTTAATACCGGAATATCTTATTCTGTATGACTGAGACAAATGTTAACTGATTCCGAGTATTTATGTGGCAACGCATACACTTTCATATTATGGTTGAAATTACCAATTATTAAAGAATGTGTCTTCAAGTGGTCTCTCAGTAATGTATTGGTGTGTACTGTAGGCTTAGCTGTAGTTGAATGTTAGTCTAATTTAGTTGAAATGGGAATCTTATAATTGATAACTTATAGTAAGTTTATGAATAAAACTGTAGATTCCGTTCCCTGACAACTGCTTTCTTTCGAGACGCCATGGGGTTTATAGTGCTCTTCGACATAACGAGTGAAAAGTCATTCTTAAACGTAAGGAATTGGTTGGAACAGCTCAAGACTCATGCATATTGTGATGATCCTGATGTTGTCCTCTGCGGCAATAAAGCAGATGCCTATGAGAGGCGTGTAGTTTCTGAAGAGAGGGCCCGTCAAGAGGCCGAGAAATATGGGTAATCAGTGTTTGCGGCCAATGTCTGTGTTGTTCATTGAATGGTTTGTTTGATTTGCAACTCAGACTCAAGTACTTCGAGACGAGTGCGGCCACGGGTCAGAACGTATCGAAATCAATGGAAACATTACTGGATTTAGTGATGAGTCGAATGCAACGAGTGGTTGAAACAAGTCCTCAACTGCCGAACCGATACTATCTCAACGATAGTATAAAACTAGAAACTAATGCACAAAACGAAAACCAGACCTCAAATTACAGTAAATACTGTAATTGTTAGCCAATCGGAACAAATCTTTAACGAAAATCGATTACATATTAATATTTCATAAGCTATGCCTAAATCTTACAAATTATATATAAATTATCAATTGAATACATATTTTGAAAATTTTGTGCCTTTTGTTTGGTTCTAAAGAATAACAATCATTAAGAGCTCACTTTGAGCTTAATATCAAAACAAACTTTCAGAACTTATATATTCAAATCATTTATCTATCAATTATATCAAACTTTTAATGTTTCAAATTACTCGATCATTATTGTAATCAATTGTTTTTAATTGAAATTAATAAATTGATTCTCAATTGTATTATAAACTTCTAAATAATTGTATAACAAGTGGTCAGTCATCATCAGAATGCAACTCAAACAGCTTCGCCACTTCATTCAAGTCGTCGTAAGGCTTTCCCTCATTTATGACACGCCGTGCGATATGCATACGACTGAAGACATTCCATAAGACGATTCCGACAACAATATTGTTTCGCAAATAAAATATAATCCCTTTTCCGAAGTCATCGCCCGGTTGTGGCGGTCGGGGAGCAACAGAAGTGGACTCGGATTTGGTTGGTTTGAGCACATCCTGAGGTTTGTCTGCTTCCGAACGAATGCCTTCATCGGTCTGTTCGACAGCGGCTTTAGGGGTATCTCTTTCGGAGGCCTTTGCGAACACACCCACCGTTGGCAGCGTTGAGTCAACGATTCCGATGGCTTCGTAACCCACTTGAGGGCCCAAATCAGACCAAAACATAGACTGATGCCAATAAGGCTTATGAGCGCCAGTCATGTTCTCGCCGGCCAGTCGTCCGCTGACCACCGCGTGGTCGTGATGTTCAACACGCCTTCTGCCGAGTTTGGTGTCGTAGAAACAGGAGGCGTCGCCCGCAACCCATAAATTAGTTCGCGCCTCCAGTTCCGCATTAACTCTAAACCCACCGAACGATTCGTCCACTTCTAGGGCCGATGTCTCCGCCAATTGGGTGTTTGGCTCCAAACCAACCGCTAAAACCACGTAATCTGTCTTCAGTTTGTCTGAATTACCGGTACTTAAACTTAGGCTCAATTGACTGCCTTCTAATTGGACGCCATTAACCAAAGTCTTGGGCAATACGTTGACGCCTTTTGAAAAGACATTGATTAGAAACCAACAATTTATTGGTCAAGAGTTGGACAATACCTTCGGATTTGACTTTGTTTGTGGTCCACTGACACAGATATTGAGGCAAAACTTTTCCCATATTTCCGTCTTCGGGGAAGAGTTGGTTGACAACAAGTGATGATTTGGTGAGTTGTGAGCGTCCGGCCAGAGCACAGGCCAACTCACTGCCCAGAAAGCCTCCGCCGACTATTGTAATCGATTTGGCCTTTTGTGAGATCTCTTCCAAACGCTTGAAGTCTTTAATATCTCTGTAAAGAATGACTCGTTTCTGGACCTCAGGATCTGCGCTCACAAAAGGCTCAATATTTTTAGGCTTCCCTCCGGTGGCGATCAAACACTTATCATAGGACACAATCTGTCCGTTATCTAAATAGGCTTTCCTTTCAGTGGCGTCTAATTTGACGACTGACTGATTCTTAAGGACAGAAACGCCTCCCGTTTCCGAAGCCATCAGTTTATTGAGAGGAATATAGAACTCTTCGTGTTCTAAGAATACAGTCCTTTCCCTTCCGTTCCACTGTTTGAATGTCAACTTCTTTGTCAGATCCGATCCACTAAACCATAGCTCTTTAGACAGAGGAGGTCTCATATATGGGTAGAAGTCCTCCTCAGATATCACCAAAACCTTTGCCTTCGGATCGTTGGCACGAATCGAACGAAAAGCGGCGAAAGAAGCGGTTCCGCCGCCTATTATCAGGTATGGTATCGATTGCGGCAATTCTGACACCTCTTTAGTCGAAGAACTCTTTCGGTCTCTTAATGGAGACCCAAATGAGAACCACTTTTTACTCCATTTAGAGGTCGGCTTTTGGTTGTCATCCCTGAGAGGCGGCGGAAGAACCAGTTCTATGACTCCAGAGGTATAGATGTATACAAGAGTGCCGCCGAAGAAGAGTAGACTCAGAGCCAATTGTCGGTTGTATTTGCGCTGATATTTGTCGTACGACTCCTTCCACGACCCGAAGGGCAGCAAAGCCTCGTCCATATGTCCCGTCCGGAACTTCTGGTACTTCTCGGGGATGTTGTGGTCCGTGTGAGACATCCGACACGTGTTCAATCGGTTCCAACACTTCCCGCCCACCAATCGACTCATCCGTACTCCACATAAACTCAACATTTCCTTTGATCTCTAAATGAATCACTTGTTGTGTCAACACTTCAATTCAATTCACATGTAATTGGTTTGCATTGATTGGACAACACATCCATTGAAGCATTGAATCCACGGATCACTTGTTGGCACCAAAACCACAAATAGTTTGCGTTTGGCTTTCAATTCAGTGTCAATGCAATCAAATCAACACTAATCGTGTAATCAGTGCTAAAGTATCGCCGGTTTTCAGTCAATCCATGCAAAAGTCAAATAAAATATTCAATAAATTACGACAAAATATATTAACATTTATTTTAATTGACATCAAATTAAATGCAATTTACGGCTAATTTAAATATAAAATAGTAATTATTGTCATGTATTTAACATTATTTATCATTCAATGAGCTTTGGATGGCATTAAATAGAGAGATAATTCACACAATATATGACAATAACCTCTAAATAAAAGGCATTGAAATTGCGGTTAAATTGTGAGACAATTTGTTTGCATTTATTGCTGTATTTCATCAAATTTACAATTAATTCAATTCATTGTTTAGTATTTAATAAGTATTTTAAGTATAAATTTGATATAAATATTACAATTAAACCTCAATTTACTATTAAATACATATTTGTTACCAAATGATTACAACCTAGCTAAATTCATTTATATATACAACGGTTGACTGAATGGTGTCTTATTTGAGGGACACATCGATGTCTTTGAGACGTCTCTCCATATTCTTGTGCTGACACTCTTTGGCGAATTCCTCAAAGTCTTTGTCGACGACAATAAACTGATCCACTTCTTTACGCCATTCAAAGATAGCGTTTTCATAGAATTTGGGAGAATTGAAGAGCAAAAAGGCCGACACCGGGAACGACATGTAAAGAGCCATCTTAAAGGCCTCCAACTTCCAGTTGCCCATCACTGCCACCAATACACCAATGGATCAGTTGTGGTGATAGCGTATCAATGGATCACGAAAACAATCAAAGGTTTGCTTATGTTTTCATTCAAAACACATGACTCTATGTGTGAACACATGCGCCAACCCTTCCCTAACATTACACTCACTTTCATCACAAATGCATGAATTTTACGGAATATTCATTCACTTCTGAATATAGTTGTAGACATTGACCACAACTTACCACTCATTCAATGAGTCATTCATTCAAACCATTCATACAATTAGACCAATACTTGCCTTCAATTATTGATTCCTTGAAGTGATGTTAAAATACAAACTTTTTTATACAAAACATAAGAATTAGGAACTTATTTATAAATTATTATCTCTCTCTCTCTCTCTCTCTCTCTCTCTCTCTCTCTCATTCATTCATTCACTGTATGATTGGTTAGTTTTAGTTTGTTATCATTCATTAGACTATCATAGGATCAAGAATATTTTAGGTTTAAAATTAAAGATTACAATTTAGTAATATTGCAATTGAAGTACAGTTACATTCAAAAAAGTTTGCAATTCTTACCAATAAAATACAGTAAAACATTGAGCCTGCCTATTTGATACATATAAAATTACAAAATCTAATGCAACTTACTGTAGTTAAATAAAAAACTCAATGTTATGTTAATAGTTAGTGAACCAAACAATTGGTTAAATGATGCGATGACTCCATGTGTTAAATAAATTAGATTTTAAGTTATTATTAAATCGATTTAATGAAAATTTTATTAATCCCTAAAGTGTTTAGTTTATATTTATATATATTTATATTTAAATCGGATCGAAATAAAAAGAAAAACTTTTTTGAACGCACTGTACATATGATTTAAAAGCAATTTTCTGCATAATTAATAGTCTTTTTTGTTGTCAAAGATTTTACAAAAGTTTGATGTCTTTAGTGAAAACTTGAGAATAACTGAAATATTGAATTAGTTGTGAGTTTGAACAGCGTTTTTGTTGTAATCAATAATCGGTTAATTACTAGTAATGGAAAAGCAATCAACAGTTACTTTGAACAAAAGCACCGTTAGATGGATCAGAGAAAGCACAGTTAGTTTGGCTGTCGTATTGAAAATGTTATTTTGTTGGCACTGTTAGCTACAAATTAAGTCAATTGAGATAAAAACACATTATTTGATAAAACGTTTTGTACATTACATGCACTACCGGTGTGTTTGTCTCTCATTCATCTCATCTCTATTAACAATATTACAGTTATTTTGTATTTCAATTAATTTAAGCAAAAAATATTAAATAATTAGAATTTTTTCATCAAATTTATCAAAAACAGCAGTTTTATGATGAGAACTGATGTGGACTTGATTTGGGAACTAAATTAACACAATATAAGTGCAAAAATAACCGAAAAAATTATACAAATTTTTGTTTGTCTTTTGGCTGCCATTGAAAAAAGAAATTTAAAAATGATAAATAAAATTAAATTAAGAAAATCTCATTATTTGAAATAAGAATATTTATAATACACCAGAAAATCAGTACTTTTTCTCAATGGATGTAAAATTTGTGTCTGAAAAAATTAACAAATATTAAAAAGTTCATTTGTTTTATCGGTAGATTTGTATCACTCGTTAATTAAACATTAAATTAATATGAAATTTTCATAGAAGAGTAACTTATGACCAAAAAATCAATTAATTTATAGTCAAAGCGGCGTTTTTTCAGCTAATATTTCATTTGTTTGCACCAATCAATCGATCCATCAAAGAGTCCGTCGATCAGTCAATCAATTAATGCATCGAAAAGCAAATGAAGAGAAATCATATTGTATTGAATTGTATTGGTTTAGAGGAAAGTCGAGATTTTGTTGCAAATAAACAAAAATTGCACTAAAATTCAGTTATTGTTTGAGTCCCCGAGTTGCGAGTGTCTGAGAGTTAGTTGAATTGATGGCGAATACAAATGGTTTGATGTGCACAATGAGAGTGTGATACAAGTACTTAACCGTTAATTATTTCAAAATCAGTCAATTTGTTAGTTATGTTTGTTTTCATTGTTTCAATCGACTGCACTGCAGAGCTGCACTCATAGTAATTGAATGGAGAGATGGAGTGATGCAACGGTCCGGCACTCAACGCACACCACAGTCCCTACCAGTCCGCCGTATTGCCCACCAAAGCGGTCATTGGCGCACACATTGACTCACACTTAACACAATTTTAACAAATTTACAACTTTTTAAATGCTGAACATCTTCTCATTCCTCTCAACAGATCTTCGTTTCATTCAATTATTAATTATTTTCAATTCAATTACAATTTGTTTTAATTAAAACAATCACTTTATGACTACTAAACCAAATTATATTCTTTTAAATTAAGCTGAAGTATAGTATCCTTTACGGCCGCGAATACAAACCGGATGTTCTCTGTGTCTGTTAATCAATGCAAACCAATCATTAGGCAATCAATTATCACAGCAATCAGTCGCACACCCATACGGGCCATACCTGTTGCACACGTAAAATGAGAATATATTATTTTTTCACTATCGGGGTTGAGGTCCACAAACATCTTTAGTATGAACTCTCGCGCATGAATGGCATCTTTCTTTGGCCCTACAGTTATACACAATTCATATCAATATTAGATATATTTGCAAATTAAATGCCAATTAAGTCGATAATCATTATTATTACCACTATAGTAATGCATTGCCTATAGTTAAGCTATATAATTAATTCATATAAAATATATCTACAAAAACTTTAGATAAATACACTTTAAATAAAATATACAAAATCCTAAATGAGATCTCATTGTGTTTACAAAATTATAAACATAAATCCTGCAAATTGTTTGCGTTTATGTTAAACAAGAAATAAATTGTATAAAAGTTGTAAAAACAATCAGACATTTTGGTAATTATTATCAATAAAACAATAAAGTGAAATTCCTGATTAATATTTCATGACATAATAAACTGGAAACACAAAAATGGCAAATTCCTTAACGAGTTTGTGAAACTTAAAACTGCAACTCAAATGTAAACAAACCATTTGTTAACAAGAATAATATATGAATAAAAATGTTTTTCATAAACAAATCATAATTAATCAGCAAATGAATCTAACCGTCATATTCAGGAAAGTAGTCGACGAGATGGGAATACATGATCTTCTCTTCTAATAAGTCTTTCTTATTTAGAAACAGAATAACTGAAGAGTTTTGAAACCACGGATATGTGATTATCGTCTTAAATAACGCTTTACTCTCTTCCATTCGATTCTAACCCATGGGACAGACATTACACCAATTAATCAACAATTCATGTGATGGACAAACAGTGGACAAACCTCGTTGTCTGACTCGAACAGGATCTGGTCGTATTCACTTAAGGCGACTAAGAATATAATTGAAGTTACGTTTTCGAAACAGTGGATCCATTTCCGCCGTTCCGACCTCTGGCCGCCAACGTCTACCATTCTGTACGCAAATCAAATACATCACACAATTAGGCACAGAGAGAGAGAGAGAGAGAGAGAGAGAGAGAGAGAGAGAGAGAGAAAGAAAGAGAGAGAAAGAGAGAGAAAGAGAGAGAAAGAGAGAGAAAGAGAGAGAAAGAGAGAGAGACTGTACCTAAATATGATAGAGTCTAAGTCGAACGGGTACTCAATGATGCCAGTGGTAGGCACTCGGACTCGAAGAATATCTTGTTGTGTAGGCAAATAATCGGTGGCAGCGATTCTATCGACATCGCTCAGGTAGCTGTCGGTGATAAAAGATAGACAACGGTTAGGTATAGTGTGTTGATTGGGTGACACTTACTATTTGGCAGAGTCTGTGAGCTGATACTCCCTTCTCCTATCATAACATTCTTGAATACCAGAGTCAGACCATAACTGTTTGATGGCTTCTACGAAAGGGCTGTCAAATGTGGTCACAGTTTCATAATCTACAGAACGGACTAACTCTGCGTTTTCCTGATGATGGCAATGAAGGTAACAATTAGTACATGAATGGCATGAATGCTGTGGAATACATACTGAATTTCTGGGGTCTTTGTAAGGGATTTTGAGCAAATCCATGGCCTTAATCATGCTTTGCATAGCCATAAAGATATTCTGATAAACAAGTTTTATGAACCCTCTCTTGTCTTCATCCGAATAACCCGATCCGTGAATTATTCGCATTTGTTTAATGAAAGTACTCTTTCCTGACTCTCCAGTGCCTGCAAAACCCAAATCCAAAATAAATATCCATTATTTAATGTTATTATTGTTTCTATTGATTATTCAGTTTTCTTTGCTCTCATTCAACACAAGAGTTTAGTTTAGTTTTGAATTACAAAATACTCTTAAATTCTGTTTTGCAATCAATTAAAGCAAAACTATTCATTATTTTCGCAAATCTTTGCTTTCGAGTCGAGGCGTTGAAGTGTAAATGAAATATTCAATACATGTGTTATTAACGCATATTATTTATAACTAATTACGATAAGCATATCATAAATATATTAAAAAACTTTTAATTCGAGAACTTATTAAAACCGAAATGATGTGCAAAAATACAGTACAGTGTCTGAGAAAACAAGTGCTAGATTGGGATAAATGCAAAAAAAGCTCAACTCATGCAACATATATAAATTATATAACAAAAATCAAAGCAATCATTATTAAGAGGTTTAATAAGTCCATTATTACAATAGTATATCATTGAATTCATATAATCATGAAAGACAAACATTGAAAACATTATCTAAATATCAAACTTTCAAACAAAGTTTTGTGAATAATTCACTTTATACTTTTACTATTTTCAAGTTTTGTTTGTTTTCTAATTGAATGCTAAACTAAGATATGAATTTTAATAGTGAATGTATTGCATATCATATCAATTGGCAAAAACCTAAACACATAAATCATAATATTATGAATAAGTATTGAGAAGAGACCAAAATATTTGTGATTTAATTAATGCCGGCTTTTATAACGAGAACAAATAAATACATTTCTCTTATCAAATATGTTATCGGCTTTTGATAATCATTTCAAATATATAAGTCTCTCGTATTTATTATTTCATTAAATTATATTAATATCGAAATCATTGAAAATTAATTAAATAGAAAAAGTATTACTTTTTAAATACACTACACTTTACATAAACACTTTTCCAATTACATAACTCTAACTACTTTACAAATGAGTTAATAGATTCATTTGATTACAAATTTAATTAATAAGTATTTTGCGAAACGTCTGCCTTTTCATTATATCTCAAATCGATATCAATTTAAAAACATATTAATAAACAATTAGAGGAAACGAGTGAAGAGTTTTGCAGTAATTAATAAAATAAATATTTGAGACAAACAAATGCCAAATGAATGAATGAAATGCATTGTATTAGTTGAGAGATTTGGGATCCAATACATAGCAAAATGGGTTTAAATTTGAATAAATAATAAAAATTGTGTAATAATTGTAATAAAAATGTTTGGAAAAGAGTCCCAAACTATCACCGTTTGAATGCATATGATATGCCTTCATCTGTAAGTCTGAATTGGATGGCAAATATGACTACGAGTTTGAGACATCACTTCTCGACAAGTGTTTCACTATCATTACTATCACTTCACGCCTACCATATCACAGATAATACCGGACAACACATGCCATTCATTGTGTTTGAATGCATTTACAATACATAACACATAAATGGCAATGAGTTTGCAATGAATGCAATGAATGCAAACATGCATTGCATTTGCATAGGAGGTGTCGACGGGAACTGCCGCTCAGACACCACACAAGACATGCAGACATTGACAGAGAGACAGAGAGACACACAAAGACATAGATATGAATGAAAGTGCGGACACAGACCGAGGAGGAGTAGTTTGAGTTCGCGTCGGGCATCGCGCTTGTCTTTGCGGAGTTGGCGTTCAATCTCCTGATTGATTCTCTTCTGTTCCTTCGCCTCTTCGCTCAGACAACAGGCCATTATTGAGATCCCCGTCTTGGATGTCGGGACTGGAAGTGTTGGCTTCAAGTGGTCACCACTCAAACCAACACAAACACCACAAACACAATCGGAGCCAATATTTGTGGCAATTGTTGCAATCGATTGCTATAACTGTTAGGAGTGGTGCGTTGGCGATGTCTTCAGCAATCTGTGCTCATAGCTCGTGGTATAACTCGACGATCATTAGAGACGGCAATTGGCGATGAGTGGAGCGATGGCGTGGTTGGGATGAGTTGAAGTGATACTTCAATCGTATAAATAGCTTGAATGAGAGGTGGAGTGGAGGTATGCAATGGTTGGCAATTGATTCACATGAATGGTGTGGTGGGGCTGCAGTTTGGGTGGTGTGGTGGCCATCAACTGGTCAACTGGTCAGTGGTAGCTGTGATGGCTGATGAGGTGATGGCTATGAGGCGGTGATGCTATGCAATGAGTGGTGCGGCGATTGGTGGCACACAAGTGGTCATCGATGGCATAGTTGGCGTGTCTGAAGAGGTGGTGCTCGGCGTCAGAGCCCGTAATTCATTGATACTGTGGTCTCGTAGTGTTGTATGGATTGGATGTATGTATGGATTGAATGGTTGGGTCAATACGTTTGTGTATAATGTCCTTCACTTCACTGTATATAACAGTAACAGTAATACTACTATACATACAATACATACGAAAACTTCATTTCTAACACACTCTCATAGACTATACTGTATATCACAGTCAGTGACAGACACTCTCACACAACCACACGGTATGTATGCTATGGCTCGGGGTATGGGTATGGGTGTGGCACAAGTCAGCGAACACATACACTGTAGTGTTACAGTACAGTGTGTGTAGTCTTACAGTACAGTGTGCTCAGTGTTCAGGCATACAGTGCCATACCAGTAGCACTACCACCAAGCGATTTGCGCGCTCACCTCACCTACCCGTCCACCAACACACACACTCCCCCAGACACGAGCACACAACTCGCACCAACTCCACCAACACACCCCTGTCCACCACCACTCACCCCCACACACCCCCACCCGGCACTGCCCCGACGGCTGCATGCATTCAATGTGTCTATTGTTGGCCAAAGTAATGCTCATTAATTGCACCGTTGGTTAGGCGAAGGGATGTCAAGCTATTGTTGGAAGAGTTGGCTAACTGTGCGCCACCACTACATCCATCTAACGGTGCGATTACTTCTATCAACTTCTTTAGCCGCAACTCAATGTGACATTTGTCTCAAAGTGTGTCAGTCCTGTCACTACCAGTCACTGCCATACCATCACTCATACGATCATTGATTGCCGTTTGCATTGAATTGCATTTAAAAGCCTATCATATAATCATATATGAAGTGTGAAACATGTATTTAACACTTTATAAGAGCTATGATTTACACAACTTTTGTAACAATTCTTCATATAAGTTAATAGACTAGGATTCCTAACAAATGAATGTAAATATAGTTTCACACAATTTGTAGACAATATTTATAATATACGCTATTTTTAGTCACACTTTATATTAAATACAGATTCAAAAGATGCTAATTATCTGTACTTCAAGTCTAACTCAAACATAATATTTATTAAATGAAATTCCACTGCTTTTCACTTAACCCTCACATTCACACATATTTGATATAGTCTACTGTACTTATGGTATATACTATATAGGTATGAATTGTATGCAAACTTAACTACAATTGAACTTGATTACATTGTGTTGCAATATTCAATAGTTAATGACAAACTCACAGTTATAACTTATAACTTAAATTGAACATGTCAACTCAATGTGACATTTGTCTCAAAGTGTGTCAGTCCTGTCACTACCAGTCACTGCCATACCATCACTCATACGATCATTGATTGCCGTTTGCATTGAATTGCATTTAAAAGCCTATCATATAATCGTATAGTCGTGTGAAACATGTATTTAACACTTTATAAGAGCTATGATTTACACAAAACTTTTGTAACAATTCTTCATATAAGTTAATAGATTCCTAACAAATGAATGTAAATATAGTTTCACACAATTTGTAGACAATATTTATAATATACGCTATTTTTAGTCACACTTTATATTAAATACAGATTGAAAAGATGCTAATTATCTGTACTTCAAGTCTAACTCAAACATAATATTTATTAAATGAAATTCCACTGCTTTTCACTTAACCCTCACATTCACACATATTTCATATAGTCTACTGTACTTACCCATATATGATATATCCATACTTAACATACGTTTGAATTGATGTTAACTTGAACTAATGTAACACAACGTTATAAGTTATCAATTACTGTTTGAGTGTCAATATTGAATATTGAAATTAACTTGTACCTACAGTAGTAGAGTAACATAGAGTTTACATTTTAAGAATCGTCAGGGTTATTTAATTGACCTGGTTATTTCCTTCTCAATATCATAGTTTACGTTATAAAAGATTAACTAATCACGCAACCCAATTACACAGGTCCGGATAATATTTATCATTATAATAATTGACAGATAATGACAACTAACCTCAGCTCAACTTATATCCTAAGATATTCTTATGTTGTGTTGAAAGTGCTTGAATATTTGTTTCAAATGTAAATCCTTTTTATAAAAATATTCATATTTAGAAAAGTATTTATTGAAACTAAAAGAAATTTTATACAGAAGTCAACCATTATATGTGGAACTAGTCTTAGAGTTTATATCGCGCCATCACTCCATTATAATCTATTATTCTCACTTTGTTCTTCACACCAATTATAGAGTTGTCTATTCAAATAATAGTATTGTAAATATGACTATTTATCAGTATTAATAGTGTAATCATCTAATGAATCTAATGAAACTAATCTACTATGTTATGAATGTATGAATAGAGTAAGTGGTCAGCACTATAGCACTGTTAGCACCCGACGGACACACTATTGTTCAGCAATTGTAATGAATGACAAATTGGTGTCAAATGTAAAGCGAGTCCAACAGTAAAGTGAACGCAATGTTTGTCAAAGTGGTGTGAATTGTCGTAATTTGTGTAATACCTGACAAACAGCTGCTTTGATAGCGTTATAAACATTACGCGAAATAAAAATAAGAGAAATAATGAGATTTTGGTCCCCTTCCCACTGACGCCGTATGCACTCCGGGATCGATAGGTTAGTATATAATGGGCCATGTTACTGTTGAATTATTTAAATTATTAAATTATTGTATATGTTATTATAAAAAAAATTAAGAAATGTTAAATAAACAAACTTTATTATAAATATTTGTAATTTACTCATGCATGGTTTATAATTCGAATTGACTTGTCATCTTTATTATTTAATGAAAAATAAATACATTTTGGTTTTGTATTAAATACAAATGTTTTTTATTTCATTAATTTTATATTATTATTTGTTACATCAATTTGGAGCACCATTAAGCCCATAAGTATTTAATATTTATTTTATAATAAACTAGTATAATACACTAATTCTAAACACATTTTTAAATTATCTAGTAACTTACATTGAAATACAGAACTATGATAACCTACTGAATATTATATGCATTAAACCAGTACATTTTAAAATTAGTATACAGTATATTAACACAAAAACAATTTAAATTCTTTATTTTAATAATCTTATTTCGATTACCCTTATTAGTTAATAAATTAGTAATTAATTAACTTACTGCTAAATAAAAACACAAAGGTACAATTTTAAAATCCTAAATTTTATAACTAAGGACTGCTCAATAAGTAAATCCCCTTTTTTGTTACGAGTCTCGCGCGCGACCCATTGTATTGTTGGGATCAGTCTTGTGTTCCATATTATCCTTACTTATCATAGAGTCATATTACCATTGATTTGATTTAATAAAGTTAAGTTTAAGATAATGGGAGTCCAAGAAAGGTAAGTGATGTCAAATACGTTATGGACATTTTACGTTTTACATTTGATGGTCACGAAAATCCGCCTAACGTTCCCTAAGCCTGACCTACCGGCCTATTGAGCGCTTCTGAAGTCTATGCAAAAGTGGGTTAAATCTCATTATTTCTCTTATTTTTATTTCGCGTAATGTTTATAACGCTATCAAAGCAGCTGTTTGTCAGGTATTACACAAATTACGACAATTCACACCACTTTGACAAACATTGCGTTCACTTTACAGTTGGACTCGCTTTACATTTGACACCAATTTGTCATTCATTACAATTGCTTCCAATAGTGTGTCCGTCGGGTGCTAACAGTGCTGTAGTGCTGACCACTTACTCTATTCATACATTCATAACATAGTATTTATTAGATTATTAGACACTATTAATACTCATAAATAGTCATATTTACAATACTATTATTTCAATAGACAACTCTATAATTGGTGTGAAGAACAAAGTGAGAATAATAGATGATAATGGAGTGATGGCTTTATACAAACTCTAAGACTAGTTCCACATATAATAGTTGACTTCTGTATAAAATTTCTTTTAGTTTCAATAAATACTTTTCTAAAAATTAATATTTTTATAAAAAGGATTTACTTATTTCACATGTAACAATGACTTATTATTGTATTCTTATAGAATCCTATATTCAACTCGACTCCAATCAACAGTAATAGACAGTTAATAATATTACTATTTATAATAGGCCTGGACACATTAACCCAACGCACTAATCAATTAGAAAATATTGC